ATGGTGTCATATTAGGAGAATATGGTGGGTTGCGGGGGAGAACTATCCTACCCAACTCCATAACCTTGTGTTGCGTCAAACGTGCAACATGTGGACTTGCATTGTCGTGGAGGGAAGAACCCTTTTCCGATTGACGATTGAAGGGCGTTCCTGATGAAGGGCTTGATTTAAACGTCCCAGTTGCTGATTATAGATCTCTGCATTGACAGTTACCTGTGGATTGAGGAGTTTGAAATTAATTACTCCTTTGATGTCCCACCAAATGCAAAGCATCACTTTCTGTGGATGAAGCCCAGGTTTGGGAGTCAGAAGTAGTTTTGTCTAGGGCAGAGCCATTGTTTTTGGCATTTAATATTCGTATAGAGAATTCATTTTTCATCACCGGTGACAATTCTGTCCAAAAATGGTTCACACGCATTACGTGCCAGAAGAGACGAAGCAAAGTTCACACATTGGAAACGATGGTCATTGGAGAGTTTGTGAGGCACCCAAATACTTTCTTTATGGAGTTTCCCGTATTCCTTAGATGTTTACATATTATTTTATGAGAGACATGCAATTTCAGGACAATTTTACGAGTGTGTTACCTTGAGTTAGACTAAACAAGCGTCTTTAGAGCATCAATATCAATTCCAACATGTCGGCCTTTGCCATCACAGTTCTTAAAGCTAAAGTCACCTGAATGAAATTTGCTGAACCATCGTTGGCACTTACGAACGTTCGAAAGATTTCCATAAACTTCTTTGATATTCTTTTAACTATTATACGTGATGTACGTTTTTGGGGTGGTGGTTAATGAAAGTGTTTCAAAACGCGACATTAATTTCTTGACGACCTAATAGGTACGTTACAAATGGGAATCTAAAACATTTTTAGATTTAAAATGTAGTTTGCTTTAGAGATAACTTTAACAGAGATTAAAATTTTGCAACTTCGTTGGAAGTACATAAATGTGAATTTTCTTAGAGTCAAATCTGTTTTTAATGTCTCGACCTCTGTTTATGTCTCTAAGTTAATAATGTCACTTCATTCCAATAAGAATATAGTGGAAATTCATTTCACTATTTGAGTTTGAGTATTTTAAAACACAAAATAATTTTCACACTTACAATCTTCCAACTTCGCTTTTTTACAATGTCATTCTTATAGGTGTGAACTAATATTTTTGAGACAGTAAACTGGCAAACATGAAATTATTTTCCTTACCTAAAACATATGAAGTTTATCCCCACTTGCTGTACAGTTGCTTTTTGGTGCCCCCCCCCCCAGTGGCACAGTGGTATGTCTGCGGACTTACAACGCTAGAAACCGGGTTTAGATACCCGTGGTTGGCAGAGTACAGATAGCCCATTGTGTCGCTTTGTGCTTAATTCCAATCCAACAAATATTTGTAGCTTGATTTTATTTTTTTCAGGAATTTCACAGTCATAGAAATAATTGTAGTTTTTGAAAAGAGGGATGTAATATCTCTTTTTGTTTTCCAAATACCATTTCTGACCTCATTGAAAATTGAAATTGCACATACTTAGATATTAATTGGTGGATCTCATTCCTCACCAAATACTTAGTGCCGTCAGTGGTATGCCCGACTACAAGTTGTTTTATAAATGGGGAAGTGGGAGCGGGATATAGGCTAAACCTTTATAATAATGACAAAACAGCCAGTGTCATATTTTCTGGAACACTACGTATATTGCTATGATATTATATGTTAATATACGATAGAAAAGGTGGAAGTGAAAAAAAAGTTAGTTTTGATTTAGCCTACATGACACTTAGATGTAGTTCCATTAATCAAATAGTATTGAATAGTCTGCTCATTACCAAATTTCAATAGGGTACACATCGAGGTTTTTTTGGAGGGAGACTTCTGTGTTATAACAGAGATAGGAATTTCTGAATATTATGACCAAAGTTTCACTGTGTAAATGAGTTATTAAGCGTTACTACTATTTTAAGCATTGAAAAAAAAACTGCGAAGGTTTTTGTTTGTTTATTTGCTGTTAAGGTCAAAGCTACACAATTTGTGCTGTGCCCACCGCGAGTATCGAAACCCGATTTTTAACATTATAAGTACTCAGACTTGCCGCTGAGTCACCGATGGGAGGCACCCCGAAGGTTATAGTATAATATTGATAATAACTGTATTGTAAGCAGTCGAAATTAAGAAATATTTGGGCTATGTGCTTCTGCGAGAAAATAAAAGTGTGTTAAAACTTGAAATCGGCATTTTTCTTTGGAAGTAGAATCTTATCACGCTGCGGGAAAGCATTCCAAGTTGCAGCAATGTGTTCAACTGAGTTTTGCTAAAAATTGGGCCATGTCTTGATATCTGACGTCAGCATATAAATATGGCCCAGTTAACGCTGTCTGAATGTGTTGCTTAATTTCTATCTCCTTCAATAATCTTCAATCTACATGTATAGTATCATTTTAACATGATTTTTTAAGAGCTTAAATTTGAGTGTCGCGCCATTTTCTGTTCAAATACACGTACTTACAAAAAACATTCATTTTCCTAAACTCCTTCCAGTGAACTTGAATTCTAATTCGACTAAGCCATCATATATTATTTCAAGTACTGTAACACTAAAATTGAGTGTATTGTGTTTATCTTTCTCGTTTCCCTCCAAAAATGGCCCTGAATCCCTGTAATTAATTTAAGAGCATAACGAAGAGCTAATTTGTTCTGATCCCGAACTAATTGCATAAACAAAACTTCTTACATAAATCTATACTGCGTTAAACTACTTCACTTGCTCTAGAAGATCAAAGTAGCTCTAAAATTGGAGGTGGGTGTTCTTGACTAGCCGTCTTCCCTCCAATTTTACCAGTTAAAAATGAGAAATAGCTATGCGCAGCTATTCCTTATGTATCTTTGTAACACACATACTATTGATACCGCTCTTTCTGCATTCTCAATTAATTAAGCGAGGCTTCGGCGTCTTGTAAGTAATAGAGTAATATTCTAAGTTATAGGAATATTATAGTATTATGTGGATAAAACTATATTATCTCACTCTGAATGAGACTGTTGAGCTTATAAATAATAGTATAGGGTGTTAAACATGGTGCGAAGTTGTGATATTGAGTTTATACTGGTTAATCATGCTGAAAAACACTGTGATAGCATACACACGAACGCATTAATGTAAAATCCCCTAGAGCAGTAGGACGTAAGTGATACTACAGACTAGTTCAGTGTTTGATACTACAACCTACTTCAGTGTTGGATAATCTACTTATTTGATCGCGATGCTACAACTACGTACAATGTAGGGTACAACAGTAGGACGTAAGTGATACTACAGACTAGTTCAGTGTTGGATAATCTACTTATTTGATCGCGATGCTACAACTACGTACAATGTAGGGCACAGACAAACGAGGATATGAAGAAAGTGTATTTACTTCGAATAATTGGTCCTTTGGTAAGAAGTGAGTTTTTAAACGAACTTAACATTCAAAAAAGCACATTCTAATTTTTTTATGATAAAGAAATAACCAATCTCTGTTTAATCAGTTAGGAAATTTCCAGAAAATTAAAATGTTCTTTTTTTCCCCTTTCCCTCTTATTTCATATATTTTTAGTTAAAACAAAAGAAGAAGAAAAAACAGATTTCTTACTGTAACACTGAAAACTTCCCAAAACGATTTAATGATAAGTAACCTAGCGTTAAATATTGTAAACATTTGGGACATTTATTGTTTTGAAACATATAACGTTGGAGTTCCAAGACCATGCCTGTGATTGAAATTTTAACAAATTGTCCTTGTAAATATAGAAACTTTTGGTCGCGCTAACCATGAAAATAAAAAAGAAAGAATTGTGACGACAGAATCATAAATTTCAATTACGACTTAAGTCCACTTAACCAAATTGTTACATTTTCTTCTAATATACACAAAACAAACTAAATAAAAAAGAACGATTTCATACCTTTAGTGGTCAGATGACTGCTTTGTTTATTACCTAAGGCCTAGTTACGAGCCATGATAATATGTATATATATATATATATATATATATGTAACTTGATTTGGTTTTATTTACTAACTTCTTGTCTTTACCGATATTAATTCTTTTCTTATAAATCCACCAAATAATGACTTCGTGCTGCCGTTACACTTAAAAAAAATTAATAGTTTCTTTAAAACCTTTTAAGATATTTATCTGGTATTGCATGTATATTTTCCACATATAAACGAGTACTGTAATATCTTAATAATAATAAAAAAATAGGTGAGAGTTATCCAGAAAAATATTTACACACTTAACTCTTAAAATGTTTACGTTCGTTAAGTATATTAAACATGGATACCTTTAACTTATGAATTTCTCTATTCAGTCGTAAGATCTCTTCCTCCCGATTTTCCAGAATTTTTCTTGTCTCCCCAAGTTCCAAATCCAGTCGCTCTACCTCTTCCTCTCTTTCTCTGAGCTCTTCTTTCAGAACGGGAATCAGATCTTCACTAAAAGCTGGCTCCCCTAGAAAGTTCTTTTTCCCTAACTTTTCAGGGGAATCGCTCCGCAGGCTGGAGGACCGCGAGTCCCCTAGACTGTTGCTGGGACCGCTAGCACCGTTCCCCATGCCGGATGCTAGTCGGCCAGCAGCCCTCAGAACCCTACGAGCACTATCCAACCAGTTTCCTGCTTTTGCAAAGGCACTATGAGTCTTGGGAGTACGAAATTTGTTCCTTTTGCACTTAGTGGAAGGCTTAGGTGATCCCTCTAAACCCTCTCTCCGCAGGTCGGGAGCAGACTTGGCAGAGTTTTCCTCGGATGTTTCAACCTGTTGACAGCCTTCACCCACAACGATGCCCAGCTTACTCGTTGTAACGTGGCGTCGCGCATCCACGTTACTCTGCAAAGGCATTTTGAAGCCTAACAGTATCTGTTAATAAGCACTGGACCACTTGAGGTATACCTCAATACCAGGCTACTCGTAGCGATAGTAGCGCCACATACAGGCGAGAACCAAAGTAACCAAAGTAATAAAACTCGGATCCCAAGTTAAGAAATAAATAGACGATCCTAAGTCTCAGTTTATGCTATTTTGATCAAACAGTAGGCGTAGAGGAGCCTCTCTTTTTTATGCCGTGTTTATTTTTCTACCTATAGCTGTTTGCTGTTAAACTTTCCGATAGAAAAACTAGCTTCATGGCTTTTTCACGTGTATTCTACGGCAGGCCCTGTAAACAAACGTTGAGAGGAACGTCACACTCGAATAACTTGAGAGCACGAGACGCCACTGAGTCTTTTACACGTCACGCACGTGAAGAAAGTAGTTCTTCCTCTATATATAGCTTCTGTGATGAGGTTTGCTCCTGAAAAGAATAAAGAGAAAATATTGTCTATTGCTTAATGCTCTAAATATTTCCAATTATTATTTTTTCTAGGAAAAACAAAACAAAACAAAACTTCAAATTATGACATTCTAAATGAATTCAGTGCGATTAACCAGTGACTGAAAAGATCTTATAATATTTGCACATTAATTAGAGGAATTGTTGACAAATACACGAGCATTGAATCTACCTAGCTTAGGTTTAAATAAAGTGATTTTTCCTAATTAGTCTGATGCTGCCACGACTATACATTATTTACCAAGTGACTCTTCCTAACCTCTTTGATTCTGTTATATTTATATATCATTGGCCAAGTGACCTTTCCTAACCTCTTTGCTGCAGCTAAATTTGTATATCATTAGCCAAGTGTGTTTTCCTAATCCCTTTGCTGCTGCTAGTTTTGTATATCATTGGCCGATTGAACCTTCCTAATCCCTTTGCTGCTGCTAGTTCTGTATATCATTGACCGAGTGAACCTTCCTAATCCCTTTGCTGCTGCTAGTTTTGTATACCATAGGCGAAGTGACCCTTCCTAATCCCCTTGCTGCTGCTAGCTTTGTATATTATTGGCCGAGTGAGCCTTTCTAATCCCTTTGCTGCTGCTAGTTTTGTATATCATTGGCCGAGTGAACCTTCCTAATCCCTTTGCTGCTGCTGGTTTTGTATATCATAGGCGAAGTGACCCTTCCTAATCTCTTTGCTGCTGCTAGTTTTGTACATCATTGGCCGAGGGAACCTTCCTAAACCCTTTGCTGCTGCTAGTTTTGTATATTATAGGCGAAGTGACTCTTCCTAATCCCTTTGCTGCTGCTAGCTTTGTATATTATTGGCCGAATGAACCTTTCTAATCCCTTTGCTGCTGCTAGTTTCGTATATCATAGGCGAAGTGACCCTTTCTAATCCCTTTGCTGCTGCTAGTTTTATATTTCATTGGCCGAGTGAACCTTTCTAATCCCTTTGCTGCTGCTAGTTTCGTATATCATAGGCGAAGTGGCCCTTCCTAATCCCTTTGCCGCTGCTAGTTTTGTATATCATTGTCCAAGTGACTATTCTTAACTGATCTGATGATGCTTAAATTACCTTTTAGCCAGATGATTCTTCCCAATTAACTTTCTGCTATTAGGGTTAACTTCTTAGTTGTAATCGAATTTTTTTGTGCTACCTCCCCAGTGGCACAGCGGCATAGCTGTGGACTTATACTGCTAGAAACCGGCTTTCGATACCCGTGGTGGGCAGAGCATAGATAGCTCTTTGTGTAGTTTTGTGCTTAATAAAAACAACAATAACAATTTTTTGTGCTAAAAATAATATACTAGGCTGATGACTTTTTTTAATTGCTAGAATTAAATACTATTCCTGTTTGGATACTAACTTTACATTATTTCTCATTATTCAAAACTTGCTATGCATTAGTTAAATATCTCTATCCCTGTTTGGATACTAACTTTACATTACTTCTCATTATTCAAAACTTGCTATGCTGTAGTTAAATATCTCTATTCCTGTTTGGATACTAACTTTACATCACTTCTCATTATTCAAAACTTGCTATGCTGTAGTTAAATATCTCTATTCCTGTTGGATATTAACTTTACATCACTTCTCACTATTCAAAACTTGCTATGCTGTAGTTAGATATCTCTATTCCTGTTTGGATACTAGCTTTACATCACTTCTCATTATTCAAAACTTGCTATGCTCTAGTTAGATATCTCTATTCCTGTTTGGATAATAACTTTACATCACTTCTCACTATTCAAAACTTGCTATGCAGTAGTTAAATATCTCTATTCCCGTTTGGATACTAACTTTACATCACTTTTCATTATTCAAAACTTGCTATGTTGTAGTTAAATATCTCTATTCCTGTTTGGATACTAACTTTACATCACTTCTCATTAGTCAAAATGTGCTCTGCTGTATCAGAAATGAAAAAATCTAATCATAGGTCATTCTCTTTCCCATTTTGAGCACCAGCTGACATCAGATTTAATTACTCAAATCCTCATTTCATGCCCCTAAAATTAAACTTTTTGAAGATTTGTATAACATCAGAACTAATTACTGAACACCTCATTTTGTGTTCTAGAAATTAAAACTTCTAAACTAAACATTTGTGAGTTTCTTTCCGTTTTGGACACTACCTTAACAATACATATTTCGTGTTCTTGAAATTAAAACTTCTACTCTTAATACTGACCATTCTAATTTCTGTTTCGTACAATACTCTAAGATCAAAGCTAATTAACCTGTTTAACCATCCAACATCTCATGAAGCTTGTTTCATAATGTAAAAACAGTAGCTTAATTAACCACCCAACATCTCATGAAGTTTATTTCATAATATATTAACAGTAGTTTAAAAAGGTGCTGTTCAACCATCCAACATCTCATGAAGCTTGTTTCATAATGTAGAAACAGTAGTTCAGTTAACCACCCAACATCTTACGAACCTTGTTTTATAATATATGAGCTGGAGCTAAAAATATACTGTTTAATTGTATAAATTTTAGCTAGAAAGCTTACCATTCACCATCAAACATATCATAAAACGTGTTTTATAATATATAAAAACTGGTTAAAACGTACCATTTAACTAACTACCCAACATCTCATGAAGCTCATTTTATAATGTCTGGTAGCTGAAAAGGTACTAGTTAACTGACGTATTGCTTAAATTTCTGCAACTGACGAAAATCTTTACCTAACTAGCTTTGAAATAATTGTAACTGCCCTGTAGACTTACAGGCGGTTGAAATAACCATATCTAAATAATTTGTATTTGAATTTTGTTCTTTTTTTTTGCTGTCTAATACCTTTTTATGTATTCTTAATCCATACTGATAAATTGTATGAAACATGTATAGTCTTCTTTGAAAGTTATGCTTAAGAGGGAAATTGTCAAGGCATTTTGTCAATATCAGTATTTTATTCATCTTTATCTGAATGAACGTCTTTTACGTTTACGTATTGAATTAATTTGTCTCTTAAATGCTCTGTTTTGACGTGCATTTAAGATGCTTTATCATTAAACTATATATATCTAATCTGATTAGGTTTCAACTATAAGGAACGAAAGGTAAAGTGTACAGATGAGAATAAATCTGTCATCAAATCTAGATATAATCTGAGGAAGTACATACCATCCCTTGTTACTTTGTGAAATCTCCTTGGATGTAATCAGCCGTTGGAAACAAATTAACACATATATTAACTCGAGAAATATAATCCTTCTGCAATCAACTATCATATTTCCTATATGTTAAACTTCTATCTTCGAAGCAAAAATAAAATAAAAAATGACAGCATATTATTAATATTCGAGTACAATCGAAAGGATAATATTGGTATAATGCTATTTCCTTCAGTTCTATAAAATATTTAGTGATAGATTATTGGCTCGTACTAGATTAATTAACTTTATGTGAAGTTTGTTAAATAATAAGTTTAATGATTTGTTTTGTTTGTTCGGGGCTATCTGCTGTGTTCACCGGGAAGAATCGAAGCCCGGATTTAGCGTTGTAAGTTTCTAGACTTACTGCTGTTCCACCGGGTACAAGTTTAATAACTTAAGTTGTCTCCAGACTTACCGCTGTCCCACTGGGGGACAAATTTAATAATTTAAGTTGTTTCCTCAGAAATAATACTTGCTGTTGTTTTTTTTTACGTACAAAGATAACATTTCTTAACTACGAACGCAAGAAGGTCTGTATATACTTAATGTCTGAGAAAATAATTAAACTCGAAAGTTACTTTCTGGTCTTCTTGCTATGCTGGTTTCTATCCGAGTTGAAATTTCATTCGTCGTTTTTATTGGCACATTTAGTAGTTACCCATACGGTAGACGTGAGTAAATGCTCTCTAACATATTTTCTATCACATACTTAAAGTATTCAGTCTTCTTGAAACACTGTAATCCCGTGCTATTAATGTATTTTTATAGGATAGTTTAGGTTTATTCGTAGAAAACATTCGGTTTAACCAAGAATATCCATATCTCGCTCAGAACATTTTAGTATTACACATTTAATATAAACATCTTGCTCAGAACATTCTAGTATTACACATTTAATATAAACATCTTGCTCAGAACATTCTAGTGTTACACATTTAATATAAACATCTTGCTCAGAACATTCTAGTATTACACATTTAATATAAACATCTTGCTCAGAACATTCTAGTATTACACATTTAATATAAACATCTTGCTCAG